TGAATTTGGTGGGCAGGTCACATTTATTCCATAATATGTACCTTTTCCTCAACTAATCACCATGTCCAGGAAAGAGGGGGAACACAGAATACCTTGGGCCAGCCAGGACTCAGTCTTCTTGCTAGGGGGTGGGAGCAGTTTCAGCTAAACTGGCAAGAAAAGTCAGGGTGATGTTAGGAAAGGCAAAACGGGAACAGGTGTCCCCTAGAGCAAGCAATTTGGCCTTTGCCTCAAAATGCTGCCTTTGCCTTCAGAATTGATATGGCATTTGATATGATTTATCGGATAGATGTTTTGCACATTTTTTCTTTTCCCATCTTGAAAGCCCTTCTAATCACCCCTTCTCCACCTCTTTTCTCCTTCTTGGGAGTGTGGCCTCAGAGATGTTGTGCCATGTGACCCCATCGCAGGTCACTGCAATAGCTTAGATATCTTAAATGCAAAAAGATACTTCTTCTGCAACAGTAATAATAATCATGGTAGAAACTCTACAGGTTAATAGTGATAGGTGTGTTGAAAGTGACAAAACCATCTAAGCTTGCCTTGGAGATATTCTTATTGATTTTCCTTGGCTTGATATCTGTGACATTTGTCACAATTTATATCTCCTAACTTTTAGTTTTATCCCTATAGAAGACTTCTTAGAATTATTGGACTTAAAGAAAAGTTGGTAATGAGCTAGTCCAAGACTCTCATTTTTCTTGATAGAAAACAGACCCGAATAGGTTATGTGACCTGCCCAAGGTCTCACAGCAATATCTGTAGTTCAGGGTCCTAGCTCTTAGTTCACTGCTCTCATTGTCCTTGTGGAAAGAAAGATGGTGGGGAGTGTCCAGCAAGTGGAAGTCAACACCACAGCTAAGTGTTCTGAGCCCCAGACTTTCTTACTGTGGTTACTAAGGCTCTCGTTACAGACTTAGAGCCATTCTGTCTCTTTTAAAAGAAAATACATATTTTTATTACTAAAATTGATAAACGTAACATATTTTTCTAGCAAATCATAAAAGATATACAAGCCAAAAGTATAATCACACATTTTCTTGCTATTCATTCATTATAATTTATGGCTAAATGAATTCTAGCCATGTTTCCAAATTCTGGCTAAAATTTTGGTTTCTAACTTACATTACCATGTGTAAATTAGATGGCCAACGGGAGTTTGCTGTATGGCTCAGGAAACTCAAAGAGGGGCTCTGTATCAAACTGGACGGGTGGGATGCGGAGGCAGAGGAGAGGGAGGTTCAAAGGGGAGGAGATGTATGTGTACCTATGGCTGATTCATGTTGAGGTGTGACAGAAAACAGCAAAATTCTGTAGAACAATTATCCTTCATTAAAAAATAAATAAATTTAGTAAAAAAGAAAACACACACATAAAAAATTTTGGCATCTACATTACCCTTAGATATCTTTTTTTGAGATTTATAAGATTCTTTGGGACTTTCTTTGACTGATGACATTCAGTCATTCATTGAACAAATGTTTGGTGAGGTTCCTTACACTAGGAAGTCATTCATGTAAGTGCTTTTGTTACCAGTTTGCCAAAACATCCCCGGGGACATGAATTTTCTTTTTCTTTGAACCCCCAGGCTTCTATTACATTTGACCATGGCTATCAGAGTAATGGTAACATACATATGTGTATATGTATGTGTTATGTATATGTGTATATACCACAGGCCAGAATCCTGGAGTGGGTAGCCTTTCTCTTCTCCAGGCCAGAATCCTGGAGTGGGTAGCCTTTCCTTTCTCCAGGCCAGAATCCTGGAGTGGGTAGCCTTTCCCTTCTCCAGGCCAGAATCCTGGAGTGGGTAGACTTTCCTTTCTCCAGGCCAGAATCCTGGAGTGGGTAGCCTTTCCCTTCTCCAGGCCAGAATCCTGGAGTGGGTAGCCTTTCCCTTCTCCAGGCCAGAATCCTGGAATGGGTAGCCTTTCCCTTCTCCAGGCCAGAATCCTGGAGTGGGTAGCCTTTCCCTTCTCCAGGCCAGAATCCTGGAATGGGTAGCCTTTCCCTTCTCCAGGCCAGAATCCTGGAATGGGTAGCCTTTCCCTTCTCCAGGCCAGAATACTGGAGTGGGTAGCCTTTCTCTTCTCCAGGCCAGAATCCTGGAGTGGGTAGCCTTTCCTTTCTCCAGGCCAGAATCCTGGAGTGGGTAGCCTTTCCCTTCTCCAGGCCAGAATCCTGGAGTGGGTAGCCTTTCCCTTCTCCAGGCCAGAATACTGGAGTGGGTAACCTTTCTCTTCTCCAGGCCAGAATCCTGGAGTGGGTAGCCTTTCCTTTCTCCAGGGCGTCTTCCCAACCCAGGCATCAAACCCAGGTCTCCCGCATTGCAGGCAGATTCTTTACCAGCTGAGCCACCAGGGGAGCCCAAGAAAACTGGAGTGGGTAGCCTATCCCTTCTCCAGCGGATCTTCCCGACCAACCCAGGAATCGAACCTGGGTCTCCTGCATTGCAGCAAGATTCTTTACCAGCTGAGCTACCAGGGAAGCCCACAACCTTCAGTAAGTATTATTATTATACATATTGTATAGATGGGAAGAGAGAAATCCAGAGAGGTTACTTACCCAAGTTCACACATCTGGTAAGTGGTAGAGATGGAGTTTGAACGCAGGCAATCTGGTTCCAGGGTCCAGGCTCTAAATATCCAGAGACACTCTGTGCAGAGACAGTGTGGACTGCACAATGTACTGCCTTTTGAATGATTTTTCTCTAATAAGAAGAGGGCAGTATTTTTCCTACTTTCTTGTAAAGAATAAGACCAACACTTCTATTTTCAGTTTACTCTGGGGAGACTGCTAAAATAACTTAATAATCGGTTGTTTCCAACTTTTGAGTGTAGAAGCCTGTGAGCTTCATTTTTTTCTTCTGTCTTTCTTTTTAAAGTGCTTGCTTCTCTTAAAAGGACTGTGTCAACAGTTTTTGAATACATCTCCATCCAGATACAGATCCAGCTTATTCTCTCACAGAGCCACTTTTATCTGGCTATCTGAGAAATACTTCTCTCTCTAGCTCATTCTAATCTTTGACTCTTCAAGGCAGGCCACATGGGCTCACAGAGAGCGCTGGGCTGAGAACTGCAGCACCAGCTTTGTGACCCGAGGCACATCTCTTGTCTGCTGTTTGGTTTTCTTACTGGTTTAAAATGGTTTCAATTAGTTGATCTCTACAGGTCCATTCTAATTGAAACCTTTTTAAAAGATACTTTCAAGCTGTGGTCATGCAGAAGATTCTTGACAGTCCATTGGACAGCAAGATCAAACAAGTCAATGCTAAAGGAAATCAACCCTGAATACTCACTGGAAGGACTGATGCTGAAGTTCCAATACCTTGGCCACCTGATGTGAAGAGCTGACTCATTTGAAAAGACCCTGATGCTATGAAAGATTGAGGGCATGAGGAGAAGGGGGTGACAGAGGGCAAGACGGTTGGATGGAATCACTGACTTGATGGACATGAGTTTGAGCAAACTCCAGGAGATAGTGAAGGACAGGGAGACCTGGTGTGCTGCAGTCTGTGGGGTTGCAGAGTCAGACATGACTGAGGAGCTCAACAACAACAACAGGTCCATTCAACTTCAAATGCCCTAAGTCTTGGTTACCTTTTATTAGGGTATCCCCCAAGTTAACTGGATCTTTAAAAAATCTCTTTGATGAAAGATGATGGAAATCCTGATTACAGTGGGTTAAATACAAGATTTTTTCATATAAGGGCAGGTCCTAGACGGGACAGGATATCCATAGCCAGCATAGATGCTCATGCACCAAACACCATGACTTCTTCTGCTTTTCTTATCATTCATAGCATGTGACTTTAGCCTTATTATTGAGCTGGTTGCTGTATCTCCAGGAGTCGTGGTCATATTCTTGACAGAAATAAAAGGAAAGAAGAAGAGCAAGTACTGGTATCAGGAAGATAGACACTCTTCCCAGAAATCCCCAAGGAATTCTGCATATGCCTCATTGACCAGAACTGGGTCACCTGACTATTAGCTATGAAGGAGTCTGGGAAGGTTAATGTTTTCAGCTGGGTAAGTTGTAGCTCTGAGCGAAACTGAGGTTTTTGCAGTTAGGAGGAAGTCGAGAGTAGAATGGGGGAACGACTTGAAGTTCTGGCATGTGTCATGGTCTAATTCTTTGTTTCTTCTAAGCTTAAAAACATGAATAAACAAACAGCTCCTTCTTTCATTCCCCATTTTCTTCTTTTCAGGCTGGGGACTAAAGTTCTTCTTTGAATGACCTTTAGAAAAATAATGACATTGTTATTAATATGTAATTATTCATAACATTATTAACCACTAATTTATACACAAAGACATGAGCAATTAGACTAAGGAGTTCCTGACTTTGTCAAGAATGGGGGAGAAGCATGATTTACCCAGTGGAAGGAGGAATGTGGAGAGCAAGCATGAGCTGGACCAGAAATTCTGATGAATGGGGCAGAGTGTGAGTCTATTTTTAGTTCGATGTGTGACTTGGGAAATATAACTTCCTCTGTGGGTCACAGGTTAGCCTACTTTGTTATATAAAAGTAAACGAGATGATGGACTAACACCATTTGCATTCCTTGGCAAAGAGCTACTTAAAATAGTCAATACAAAATTAAATATACAGTCATTAATATAGACCCTACTGAGGGACCACTAATTTGGAATTTGTCATAACTCAGGCAGAAGGTGGATTTCAGAGGGACTCTTTCATTTTCTTAAGGGAATAAACTGTCTGCAGGCACTGTAGAAGCATTTTAATTTGCAGAAAGTAAAAGCAATAATGAATGAAAATTTTCTTGACTACTCAGGATTTTCACTTGGCAATACATTGTTACCTTAAGTCTAGCTATATTTTTTCTTAAAATATAAAAAAAGTGAAAAAAGTGAATCTTAAAAGTGAAAAAGACTGTATTTGTTTAAAAATATTTCATCATTCAGACTTTTTAACTGAATTCAGTGACTCTCTTTATTTACATACTTCAGTGTGTTCTTGCTGTATTCTTGTCCCCGTAGGAAAACCCATCCTGATACCATGTCAGGATCCACTTATGGTTCAGTTGGAAGAATGATGACCTTCTTAAAGGCAGTGGCATTTGTTTCCTTTACACTTCGGAAACATTTTGGCATGGTGGACGAAGTTAGTCCTCAGTAGATGAACGAGCTGCCGAATTACTCACCTTAACTGCCTATGTTATGAGATGACATACATAGTCACCCGTCATTAAGCATGGCATGTATGAAGTGTTCAGTAGATGGTAGCTTTATTTGTTAGAAGGCAGACTGTAGGGTGGTTAAGGACACAGGACTTGGAGTCTGACACTCTAAAGATGGGAATTCCAGTGCTAACACTTACCAGTTAGGCAACTCACTTCTCTCAGCTTCTCATCTGTGTGATGGTCGTAACAACAATACCTACTCCGTGGGGTTGCTGTGAGGATTAAATCAGATACTGTAGGTCAGGTGTCTGACTGACTCAGGGTCTGGCACATACTCAGTCCTCAATAAATGATAGTTACCATTATTTTGGAGAAGGGAATGGCAACCCACTTCAGTATTCTTGCCTGGAGAATCCCACGGACAAAGGAGTCTGGTGGGCTACAGTCCATGGGGTCACAAAGAGTCGGACACAACTAAGCGACTAACACATCACTAATTTAGATTTGGTTGCCGATGTGGGTGTGTGTCTCACCCAGCCCTCAATAGATTCCAGTTCGTCTGCACAATCCAAGTCTCGCCAACACAGGATATGCCTTCAGTGTTCCCACAGACTTGGGAATGTCTGGAGTCACAAAGCTTAATGCTGAATCCCCCCCTCACCGTAGAGGCTAACACTGTCCTAAGGTCATTTGTGTGATTTGCGGTCCATGAAGACAGAGAGAAAGGAGCTTTAACTGTTAACTTTCTAACACCAGGTGGCCCAGTTGTCTTGAGAAACCACAGCATACATTTTGCAGAAGGCTGTGCCAGGGCCTTTCGCCTTTTCTTGGCCTCTGTATCCCTTCTAGATTTTTATCTCTGGCCTGTCTCCTTATCGTAAAGAGTACTCATTAACTTATAGGAAGATTGAGTCCTCTTTTGATTACTAACACGGTTTTGACCAAAGAGACTATGAGTCTTTGCTCATGCTGCTAATGGGGAAAGCACTCTATTCCACCCTGGGAACGAGTTATAGATCTGCTATTGATCACCCACACTTTCCCTTCCACATTAGGTAGTCAGCTAGGTGAGCACCACTCCCCATCTGATTGGTGTTTAACGTTGGTACCACACTTTGTGTTTTTAAAAAGCTTCAAAAATCAATTCCTCATTAACCTGATTGAAAGAGAAGTTATGCCTCCTCTGCTATGTTTTGAAAAGGACATAGATCACTGCAGGTGCTCAATAAATATGAAGCATTTAATCCTCACCTTTCCTCCCATCCAAATAGGTCACTAGAACTCACTAGAACTCATTTTCTTGGGATGAGAATCTTTGCTTCTAGACGAATGTTGCTTTCTGTAAATCTCAAACTTTCCGAAATTTGAGAACTCTCATACAGATGATATAAAATGTGTCTCGTGGTCACCTGGTACAAGGTAGCGGGGCTCATTTTGCTCTCGGCAAGCTCACTAGTAATTTCTGAAACGAAGGCTATTGAGCCATTGAGTTACTTGGAGTTACGTGCATGCATTACCTGTAGTTCAGCAGCATCTCACCTGAAGGAAGATGCTTAAGGTGGACAGGATCATAGGAGGCTAGAGGTCTTCCATCATACTACTGCCAGTCTGTTAAGACCATTCACACACACACACCCACACACGATGACACAGACCCTATCTTGTCTTCCAGATGGAATAACATTTTGAACTTTGCAACACTGTCCTACATAAGGAACTATGATGTTATTTTATTTCTTTGAAGTTTCCAATAATGGGATCTCTCAGGTTGGGACCTCTCAGAAATTTTAACTGCAGAAAAAAGATGTGTTTGTGTGGGTATCTTCCAGGGTCCTGCTCAGTCATATTTTCTGGCCCCCAGTCTCCACTTCTCAGGAGTAGGTTAAGAGGGTGACTGAGCTGGTGATAAGACCCAATCAGAGGGGGGAAGATACATCTGGATAAGACGACTGCTTCAGGCATAACTTCTCCACGGAAATGCAAAAAGCCGTGCTGCCAGGGCATTTTCTGGCTGCCTCTGTGGTGCAGCCTAAGCAGCATATAATATGGAATAAGTGCTGTTTGGTTACAGAAAGAACACTGATAAATGTCTGGCCACTAAGGTCAGACCATGGAGAAGGAAACAGCACAGAGCTCTGAAGCAGCTGGCTTAGAATTTAGCATCAGACAGGGACACTCTCTTACTTTTGGGGTAATGTAGTTTGGACAAAGCTTGACTTCATCAAATGATATGTTACAGTAAAATATTACAATTTATTTTAAGCCATTTTTTTTCTTCGCTTGCCACCTGGGTCTACCCACCTGTTTGAAAAGAGTCAGGGGAGGGTATACATTCTACTCTTGGAGCCCAAGAATATTCTAGATTTTGATAATGACATCATTTCATGATGTAATGTTTTGCATGTGAGGTTTTGGAGAACTATCTGAATGATAATTAAGCAGACAATACCCATGGTGAGCTTAGAATTTCTTTTTTATAAAGCAGATGGAAGAAGGAAAGGGCAGGTAAAAATGATCAGACTAGTCAGCAGCTCTGGATGTTAGCGATGACTTAGGACCGTGACTGCTAGACATCTCTCTCTAAACATCACAGCATGACTTACCGTGGACTGGATGTTTGTATCCTTCCCAGAGTTGTATGTTGAAGTCCTACCCCTCACCCCGTTGTGACAGTAGCAGTTGGTAGGGCTTTTGGGAAGCGATTAGATCATGAGGATAGAGCCCATATGAATGGGATTAGTGCCTTCATTAAAAACAAAAATTAGAGCTTTCTCAGTCTCTCTCAGCCACGTGAGAACACAATGAGAAGACAGCCACCTGCAAACCACAAAGTGGGCTGTCCCCAGACACTGGATCTGCCAGCATCTTCATCTCGGACTTCCCAGACTCTAGGACGGTGAGAAATCAGTGTTGTGTATGCCACCCAGGCTTATGGTATTCTTATAGCAGCCTGAACAGACTAAGACGTCACTCATCTTTGTGCAGTTTTTTTGATCATCCTTTTTCTATACTCTCTTGTATGGGACTGTATATTTCTTGTATATTTCATGATAAATCTGGAGAATTTTTTTTTTTTAAACCAAAGAACTCATATCTAGAGCCCTTCTTCTACCTACATGGAACAGGTGTTCACTCTGGGTCATTGTATGGAATTAAAATTCCTTGAATCTTGTGTTTCTGTTCAGGGCCAAGTTTTTTGGAGCTCAGTAATTGACTCTCTGGCCTTTCTTGGTGATTCAGCAGTAAAGAATCTGCCTGCCAGTGCAAGAGACATGGGTTTGAGACCTGGGTTCAATCCCTGGGTTCAATCCCTGGGTCAGGAAGAGCCCCTGGAGAGGGAAATGGCAACCTAATCCAGTATTCTTGCTTGGAAAACTCCATGGTCAGAGGGACCTGCTGGGATACAGTCTATGGGATCCTGAAACAGTCAGGCTCAACTTAGCAGAACAACAATAGCAACAGTAATTGACTTTCTGGCAGTGACTATGCAGTCACACCTTTGTTCACACTACAACACCTGGCTTAAACGCTATTATTCCTCTCTTCTACTCAGATATTTTATATTCATGAAATTTGTCTCATATTCTTTGTAAAGTCAGGCCCATGGTCTATATCACCTATACATTTGTCGCTCATCATATCCCAAGACACTTCTTGTGCTGTTCTTTTGTATCACTAATTATAAGACAGGGTGATTAACACAAACTTCTTAGGTCTACAGGAAGGATTGAATTAATTTCTATGAAAGTAATGATTGTAATCTGTTTCAAACAGTTTTTGAAGTATTCTGTTTTTAATGAGTAGGGCAGATCCCCAGTGATGATCAGAACTTAACAAAGACAGAAATCCCCTTTTACATGTAGTCTCCTCCAGGGTCTAGTACTGTGTCTCAGAAGAACATGTGCTCAAAAACCGTTGGTTGGTTGGTTGATTTTTTCCCATATTTAAAGTTCTGCCATCTGCTGAACTATTACCAGGCAAATCCCAGGATGCTTTCGTGGTTTTTAGACAGACAGGGAGCCCACTGAAGTGTGGATGAATTCTTTCTAAAAGGTTAGATGTTGATTGACTGATTAGCTCCTTGGCAAGGAAAGTATTTCTCTCTCACATCATTATGGATGCACAGTTGTACCTTTCAGGAGTCTGTTTTTGAGAGGTATGGAACAGTTTAAAGTTGTTTCACAGTAGGAAGGCTTTTATTACCATGGAAGACATTTAATGGCTTTAAGGCTCCATCACATTGTCTTGATACCCAGGTCAGCTGGAAAGGGAGCACCCATAGATTCCCCTTTAACACTCCTCATCTATGCAAGCCACCCAGAGTGGGTACCTTCCCCTTCTTCACCAGGAGTTAGTAACATGGGGAGAAGGGGGAATTTTATAGGGCAATTTCTCTCTACATCTGTGTCTTCTCTCTTTTTTTTTTTTTAAAGTCAGGTTATTGAGGTGTAGTTTACATGCAGTATGACTGCATATCCCGTTTTAGGGCTTACCTTATCAGCTAAAGTATGAAACGTGATAGACCAGGTGGTTCCTATATCCCTTCTTCCTAGTTAGTTCTCTCTGCGCATATAGTTTTCTGTGGAGTCTCAGCTTTTGTGAATTTTTAAAGAATATTCATTTCCTTATTTATCTGACTGCCTGGGGCCTTTGTTGTGGCACGCAGGATCTTCGTGTCCCTGACGCTGCAAGGTGGATTCATAACCACTGGGCCACCAGGAAGCCCCCGAGAAGTTTTTATTGATGGAAAAATAATTGAGTTGACAATATGTCAATCAATCCTCTTCTTCCTCCTCAAGTTACCCACTGACTCCACAGCTGATCCGAGCTGTTTTAAGGTCACGTCAGATGGGACAGAGGTACCCCTAAGTTCAAACTTGCCAAAAACATGTAGGGCGTTATAAACTCTGGGTTATGCCCCTTTTCTTTGCTCCATTCCCCTTGTTTCCTCAGGAGTATTTAAGGCTTTTTCTTGTTGTTACTGAGTGTTCTTGGC